AACAAGTATGAACTCTAACGCGATATCTTCATCCATCGTCACCCGCGAGCTACACATGTAGGGAAATCTGTCCGACTTAAACGCCGACTTTCAGCCACCCCCCCCTGCTGCGTCCATCTGCTCCCGTCTGTTTTCCAGGCGAGGCGCTGCTCAACTCGAACAAGCCTAATGTTGGTGGACGGCTGGTGATGAGTTTTACCCATAATGCACTTGGAGATGATTTTGGAGATCCTCTTGGAAATTTGCAGGTCATAAAGCTACATGTGAGAGTAAAAGTGAAGCCTATCATGCAGTGTTACAACCCCTACAGGTGTTGTTAAAATGTGAAGGAGGGGGTAACATAAGAAACATGACAGTGGATTAAAAATGGGTTTAGTTGCAAAAAAAAGTTTTTAAAACAAGCAAGTAAACAGATGGGGAGCCTTATTAAAATAATGCAAAATGGAAAATTCTCTATAAGGTTAACAGTTAAAAGACAACTTATCAACTATATAAAACACCTGGTTAAAACTTTGTTAAAAGTTTCATCGAACTGAAGGTGTTTTAAAAACACAACAGAGTTGATACAAGTCTTAAAACCAAAACAGTCAACCAAGTTGACATCAAACAAAGAACCCTGTGGATCACTCAGAGTAAAACTTTAGAAATTAAAACTCATCAAAACCGAAGGGGTTTAAAACAATCTGGGGCCTGGAGGACAGCACGACCCCTGCACTGCTGCCTCTCAGACTTCTTCTTCTTCACTGAAGACGACAGGCTGTACGCCCAAAGGGCGCATTGCTGCCACAGCAACCTTAAACCGACAGCCACTCCCTTCACAGCCTCTCATACACCCCAGCTCGAAGAAAACGAAGCAGAGCCCCAATCATGACCCGGTCAGACACTGCCAACAGGGTCCGTAAGCAGGGGCGGCGTTAGGCCCAGCTACTTGGGCTCAAGACCCGAATGTTTTATGAAAAGCCCCGGATCTAAATCATGGAAGTAACATGCAGTACCAAAGTCCAACAGAGAGGGAGCAGCTGGCAGTAGTTTGTATACAGCCTGCCTGAGCCTCCACCACTGAAGAAGAAGCCCTTCAGCAGCCGGCTTCTTCTACACTCTGCCTGAAGCGCATGTGTGAAAATGGACATAAGGACGTTTTTTAGACAAAAAGTACAACGACAGAACCCCAGCTTTGATGAGACTGGTGTTGACTCAGGTTTGTGAGTCTTATTTGAAAATATTTGTTGTGCTGCTGGTTTGCCTAAAGTTAGCTTATCAGGTAAAGTTGTTGGAGAAAGAAAGGGAATATTTACTTTCATCTCACACTAAACACTAACATGAACAATAATCTGCCCTGAATATGCTTAATATGTAGCTTCAGATTAAAAATTATGTGGTACAAGACAAATATATATGATGTTGACTAGTGCGTGTCACGTGTGTGTGTGTGTGTGCGCGCGCGTGTGTTAAGCCCCTGATCTTCTTCAGTCCTAAATCCGCCCCTGTTCGTAAGCCCAACACAACCGTCCCCGCAGCCCCTAGACAGCCGAAAGAGGACCTCCTCTCCTCATCAAACAACCAGCACCGCAACAGAACATGATCCACTGTCTCCCATTCCCCACAAGCAGAGCAACCGTCTGGATGCCTTCCCACCAAAAACAAGCCTGCCTTCAGGCAACTGTGGCCCAGCCTCAATCTTGTTAAAACCACCGAGTCCCTCCGACTACACTCAAGAGTCAACCCACCAACCCCTACCCAGCTCTGCAGCCTATAATAAGAGCGCCCTGTATGCTCAGCATCCCAGGAGGCCTGCCACATCTCCATGGAGACTCGGCCAATCACACAGTAAATGTCCGACAATCCAGCCTCCACCTCCAGGTCCACCTCAGCCCTGTCAAACGCATCCTTGGCTTTGCCTCCCAGACTGCTGAAGGCACAGCCTTTTAATCCCAGGTGTGGGTCATCAGAGAGAATCAGCTCAGCTGTGCTCCTCAGCAACCTGGAAGAGAGGAGGAGGAGGGGCGGTGTCAGGCTGACCACCGGGGCTGGGTGATCCTAGCTCCTGCATCCAAAGTAGCGGTAGGCTGGTATCAAAGCACCAAAGAGGACTCAAATGCAGAGCTCACAAAGTTTAATAAGCTGAAGGGATTCCTGGCAGTACAGCACAACTGAACAAGTCCAAAACTAACTGACTACACTCACACAAAGTGTTACTGAGAGCAGGTTCACTTTACTCAACTGAAGAAGACAAACTGGCAAAGGAATCTGTTTGCAAAGAAGCATAAATGGAGAAGCCAGGACACAGGTGCAAGACATAAGGCTGATTAGTGAGGAGCCTCAGGTCGTGAAGCTGCCTGTAATGAGACAGGAAGTGAATACACAAAATAAAACAGAAAGTACCAGAAGTACAATAAAACCAGAAACATGACTGCAAAGCATTCAACCTACAGAACCACCCATGACAGGCTGTTGCCCATAACATGCAGCACAACATTTTCTTTAATATTTTATACAACAGTTTATACCTACAACATCACTAAAGTCAGCTGGCCTTGTAAAGTTTTTAGCAAGACCAACTGAATCCTGACTGGTGCAACCTACATTAGCCCGAAATTAATCGGCATTAGAAGAACTTTTAAGAATTCGTCTCTGAACACAAATTATGGAAGTGTTTGTTTTTTCCAGCATACTAGGTTAGTGTCAGAGGTGCCGTTCCCTCTCATCTGCCTCATTGCAGCTGAGCCCCCACCCCCAACCCCCACCCCCCAAAGCTGGAGCTGGCAACCCACCCTGATATAAGCTGAGAAGCTCAACTATCTTTAAAAAAAAGCCTTAAAAATGACTTGGCAATATTTCTACAGATTCATCTACAAACCTGATTGTTTCTAAGTATTGACCAAAGTCCACACCTCTGCAGATTCTCAGCAGTATTGAGAACTTGGCCCAGAGTTGTCAAAGTTTCAAAAACAAACAAAACCTCATCCTGTAATAATGTACACACAAACTGTGTCTGTTGCTTCCAAAATGGGAATATCAGATTTCTCCGCGGACCATAGATACATTTTGGACCAATGCTAACTATCCAAGCTCTGTCAGCAAAAATCCCTCCTGTTGCCATTAGCAACCACCAGAACAGGACCTCTCATACCTCCTGGGGAGATAGTCTGCTTGTTAGAGAGACAAAAATTGAAGGAGGAGATTTTGGTGAGCATTTCAAAACCGAAGCAGAAACAACAATTGCAAACTGATGGTGCAGCAGTAGTGAATGATTCAAAGTCCGTTCACTGGGAAGAGAAAACTGGATAAGATAAATGATCCCTTTTGCTGTTTAGCCTGGAGGGCTTTATTTGGTATTATAATCCACCCTAATGTGCTGTAGGCGATGAGGTGTGGCGGAACAACAGCTTCTGAAACAAAGCAGCCACAGAAGCATTTACAAGCAGGTCACAGCAGAGGGACTTTTAATGCCAGTGGAGGTTAAACATCGACAACCAAAAGCACACGCGGCAGAATTAGGTCATCTGTGTCACACCCCTAAACATTCTGACTTCTATGAAAAGCAATTACGGTCCCAGAGGGATAGAGACTTTCCTCGGCCAACTGGCAGGAACACATTTCCCACATCAGCTAAACGTGGCTTAGCAATTCAATGGGGAGAAATCAGCAACAGGAAAAATAAAATTGTCTAATTTTTTTTTTATATTATGTGGGTTTTGGGATTCAATACCAATTTGTTGACGACTTATCCCCAGTGATGCTTTGATACATAATCATTTATGTTAAAAACCAATACTGAACCATGAAAATGAGCTTGTGTGAAGATAATAGTTTAGATATTCCATGGTGGGATAATGAGAAGATGTTAACAACTGTCTTAACTGTTCCCAGAAGCTGAGGTTTAATTCTGCGTGGATTAACAAGCTATTGGCTAGTTCAAGTTGAGTGAATTCCTGGCATCAAAAATATACAGCTGTACATTTTCCTAATACACTTTTATTGAGAGTACAAATTAGGAACCCTGCTCCAAATGGCCTGAGCTGCAACACGTGTTCCAACTAGCTCCCGTCCTACCAACAAGCTCAGGACAAGAGGTCAACTTTAATGTGCCGGCCCCCATGAGACTTGAGCTGGGTGCTGCAGGACTCAAGGATCCCAGTCCTAATGGAGGGCTCTAAAAATAGCATCCACTCAAACTTGGTGGTGGTAGAGTGATGGTTTGGGACTGCTGTGCAGCATCAAGACTTTGCTGTAACCACAAATTCTACCAGATCCAGCTGAATGGGAAAATCTGACTTTTAGTCCATTTGTGCTGAAACCCCCCCCCCCCCCCCCCCCCCCCCCCCCCCCCCCAATGAGGCTGGATTTGAACAGATAGAGATGAAAAGACACACACATTCTTCGTAGCAGTTGTTACCTGCAAGGGTGGAATGCCCAGTTAGTTGTTTCATCATTTGAAAACAGAATGTTGTATTTGCTCGTGTTATTTGGGTGTGACGTAACAAAGCAAAAATAATCTGTAATGGTGAAAGTACTTACAAAATGTGGTTGCTCCATAAGAGAGCTACATAAACCAGCTTCAAATGATCCTCACTACGTCTGTGATATCCAGGAACAGCTGTTGTGGAGCATGAAAGGCTCTGGCTTAGATCATTCCTAATTAGAAAAATAATGTGCAGCAGAATCTAAACTTCAGCCTTAATCTTGACTAATTCTGTGGCAAGTTTGAGTTACTGAGTTACTGTTCCTCCTCTCTGCAGGTGACAAAAACCACACGGCAGACTTTATTAATACAAACCGAGCTCCAATTCCCTCCTCAGAGAGCCGGAGAAACATATATAAACATTCCAGGAGGGAAAAGTCTATCTGAAGTGTGTTTGAATCACAGCTTGAAGACCACCGACAGGAAGAGGAGTGTGTTCCTCTGTAATCACTTGGTTTTGTTCTCTCTCTTCTCTGTGGGGTGATGTGTTGCTCTGCACACACACACACACACACACACACCTAGAGGTCCGCCTTACCTGCAGGATCTGGCAGCGGTCCGAGGTGCAGTCGATGTTCTCACACGGCTGGTACATGCCCAGAGTCACACAGTTGAGCAGGATCACCATGATGCTGATCCTCTCGAACCACGTACTGACAGGACGGGAGTTAAGGAGGAATTCAGGTCATGAAATACAACACAGGGTTAACGAGTGCAGAAATGTCTGGTTACATTAATTTCTCTCATCTCTCTGAAATATGATGCTGAGTTTTCTCACTTTGGTAGATTTGCTGCACTGGGATTACACAACATATGAGCCAAAAGCACTTTAGATTGTCCCCTTGAAGTATAACATACATTTATTCTGCTGATGTTTTGAGATGTAGCATGTGGAAATGTAGCTTTTCAGATGAATAATCACACAATCACCCATCCACTGTTTTCTACTTATTCAGAGTTGGGTCATGGGGGCAGCAGCCTGAGCAAAGAGGCCCAGATTTTCCTCTCCCTAGCCACCTAGTCCAGCTCTTCTGGGGGAATCCCAAGGTGTTTCTTGGCCAGCTGAGAGACATTGTCCCTCCAGTGTGTCCTGGGTCTCTGTTTAGGTCTCATCCCAGTTGGACGTGCACGAAAAACCTCACCAGGGAGGCTTCCAGGCGGCATCCTAACTAGATGCCCTCGCTACCTCAACTGGCTCCTCTCAACATGGAGGAGCAGCAAATTTACTGAGCCCCTTCTGGATGGCCAAGCTTCTTGCCCTATCTCTAAGGGAGAGCACAGACATCCTGTGGAGAAAATTAATTTCAGCCGCTTGTATCCACAATCTCGTTCTATCTGTCACTACCCAAAGCTTGTGACCATATTGGGGTGGTCTTCCGGCTCAGCTCTCTCTCCACCATAACAGCCCGCTACAACGCCCACACCAATACAGACGCAGCACCAATCCGCCTGTCAATCTTGCGCTCCAGCTTTCCCTCACTCAGGAACAAGACCCAAAGATACACACCTCCACTTGGGACAGGACCTCATTCCTGACCTGGAGAAGGCATTCTACTCATATCTGACTTTTTTCAAGAGACCCAATCCTCAGGCCAGCAATATGAATCCCCTCAACACCTTGGCTGCATCAACACTGCTAATCCTTCTGAGCGTTGAACATTGGACATCTAGCACAACAAATGGTTTGAGAATTTACTCAGTAATTGAAACAAGGATAAAACAAACTGTGACATATCTGGGGTTGGCTTTTTGTTAGCCCCGAGACTCTCTGCCTGTGTGTTGGGGTTTACCCCGGGGGACAAGAGGGTAGCTTCCTTGCGCCTTCGGGTCGGGGAACGGGTCCTGACTGTTGTTTGTGCTTATGGGCTAAATATCAGTTCAGAGTACCCACCCTTTTTGGAGTCCCTGGGACGAGTGCTAGATAGTGCTCCATCAGGGGACTCCATTGTCCTGCTGGGGGACTTCAATGCTCACGTGGGCAATGACAGCTTGACCTGGAGGGGTGTGATTGGGAGGAACGGCCCACCTAATCTGAACTCGAGCGGTGTTTTGTTATTGGACTTCTGTGCAAGCCGCAGTTTGGCCATAACGAACACCATGTTCGAACATAAGGATGCCCACCGGTACACTTGGTACCAGGGCAGCCTAGGTCACAGGTCGATGATAGATTTTGTAGTCGTATCATCTGACCTGCGGCCGTATGTTTTGGACACCTGAGTGAAGAGAGGGGTGGAGCTGTCAACTGATCACCACCTGGTGGTGAGTTGGATCAGATGGCAAGGGAACATGCCGCGTAGACCTGGCAGACCCAAACGCATAGTGAGGGTCTGCTGGGAACGCCTGGCAGAAGAACCTGTCAAGACGGTCTTCAACTCCCACCTCCGGCAGAGCTTTGACCACGTCCCGAGAGCAGTGGGGGACATTGAGTCCGAGTGGGCCTTGTTCCACTCTGCGATTGTCGAGGCGGCTGTTGCTAGCTGTGGTCGTAAGGTGGCCGGTGCCAGTCGTGGTGGCAACCCCAGTACCCGCTGGTGGACACCAGAGGTTCGGGGAGCTGTCAGGCTGAAGAAGGAGGCCTACAGGGCGTGGCTGGTCTGTGGGTCTCCGGAGGCAGCAGACAGGTACCGGATAGCCAAGCGGGGTGCAGCAGTGGCAGTTGCCGAGGCAAAATCTCGGGCGTGGGAGGAGTTTGGTGAGGCCATGGAGAAAGACTATCGATCGGCTCCAAAGAGGTTCTGGCAAACTGTCCGGCGCCTCAGGAGAGGAAGGCAGCAACTCGCTCACACTGTTTATGTTCATGTGACATCGACAGATGCAATACGACTAGAAGAAGGAAAAACACACTTTGTTGGTTCTGTCTGATAAACTGAGATTCTGAAGCAGCGATTAATTCTTCGCCAATTCAGATGGATCAAAAGTGCTTCATACTAAGCCCACCAGCAGGTACCTTCAATTATTAAAAATGAAGAATAGAAAATCCTCCTTGAACCGTCACCTTATCGTGGTGGAGGAGTTTTAGTGCCCTAATGATCCTAGGAGCTATGTTGTCTGGGGCACTTTGTGCCCCTGGTAGGGTCTCCCATGACAAATTGGTCTTAGGTGAAGGGTGAGACAAAGAATGGTTCACAGGATCTTTCATGGAAGTAAATTCAAAGAGTCGGAGTACCCGGCCCAGAGGGTTACCGGTGTCCCACCCTGGAGCCAGTCCTGGGGTTGGCGCCCAAGAGCGAGAGCCTGGTGGCCGGGCTGTCGCCCATGGGGCCCGGCCGGGCCCAGCCCGAACTGGATACATGGGCTCATCCAACTGTGGACCCACCACCCACAGGAGGAACATAAAGGGTCTGGTGCAATGTGGATCGGGTGGCAGACCAAGGCGGGAGCCTTGGCGGACTGATCCCCGGACAACGAAACTGGTTTTTGGGACATGGAACGTCACCTCACTGGCCGGTAAGGAGCCAGAGCTTGTGGCAGAGGTTGAGCGGTACCGGCTAGATATAGTCGGACTCACCTCGACACATTGCATTGGCTCTGGAACCCAAGTCCTTGAGAGGGGTTGGACACTCTCCTTTGCTGGAGTTGCTCCAGGTGAGAGGCGGAGGGCTGGGGTTGGCTTTTTGTTAGCCCCAAGACTCTCTGCCTGTGTGTTGGGGTTTACCCCGGGGGGTGAGAGGGTAGCTTCCCTGCGCCTTCGGGTCGGGGAACGGGTCCTGACTGTTGTTTGTGCTTATGGGCCAAATATCAGTTCAGAGTAGCCACCCTTTTTGGAGTCCCTGGGACGAGTGCTAGATAGTGCTCCATCAAGGGACTCCATTGTCCTGCTGGGGGACTTCAATGCTCACGTGGGCAATGACAGCTTGACCTGGAGGGGTGTGATTGGGAGGAACGGCCCGCCTGATCTGAACTCAAGTGGTGTTTCGTTATTGGACTTCTATGCAAGCCGCTGTTTGGCCATAACGAACACCATGTTCGAACATAAGGATGCCCATCGGTACACTTGGTACCAGGGAAGCCTAGGTCACAGGTCGATGATAGACTTTGTAGTCATATCATCTGACCTGTAGCCGTATATTTTGGACACCTGAGTGAAGAGAGGAGCGGAGCTGTCAACTGATCACCACCTGGTGGTGAGTTGGATCAGATGGCAGGGGAAGATACCGCGTAGACCTGGCAGACCCAAATGCATAGTGAGGGTCTGCTGGGAGCACTTGGCAGAAGAACCTGTTAAGACGGTCTTCAACTCACACCTCCGGCAGTGCTTTGACCTCGTCCCGAGAGCAGCGGGGGACATTGACTCCGAGTGGGCCTTGTTCCACTCTGCGATAGTTGAGGCTGCTGTTGCTAGCTGTGGTTGCAAGGTGGCCGGTGCCAGTTGTGGTGGCAACCCCAGTACCCGATGGTGGACACCAGAGTTTCGGGGAGCCGTCAGGCTGAAGAAGGAGGCCTACAGGGCGTGGCTGGTCTGTGGGTCTCCGGAGGCAGCAGACAGGTACCGGATAGCCAAGTGGGGTGCAGCAATGGCAGTTGCCGAGGCAAAATTTCGGACATGGGAGGAGTTTGGTGAGGCCATGGAGAAAGACAATCGATCGGCTCCAAAGACGTTCTGGCAAACTGTCCGGCGCCTCAGGAGAGGAAGGCAGCAACTCGCTCACACTGTTTACAATGGGGATGGGGAGCTGCTGACGTCAACTGGGGCTATAGTTGGACATTGGAAGGAATACTTTGAGGAGCTCCTCAATCCCACCTATGTGCATTCCGAGGAGGAACCAGAGCCGGGAGACCTGGGGATGGACTGTCCAATCTCGGGGGCAGAAGTTGCTGAGGTAGTCAAACAACTACACAGCGGCGGAGCCCCAGGGGCAGATGAGGTTCGTCCTGGGTATCTCAAGGCTATGGATGTTGTAGGGCTGTCATGGCTGACACGTCTCTGCAACATTGTGTGGTCATCTGGGGCAGTTCCTGTGGAGTGGCAGACCGGCGTGGTGGTCCCCATCTTTAAGAAGGGTGACCTGAGGGTGTGTTCCAACTATAGGGGGATCACGCTCCTCAGCCTCCCTGGAAAGGTCTACTCCAAGGTACTGGAGAGGAGGGTCCGATCGATAGTTGAATCTCAGATTGAGGAGGAGCAATGTGGTTTTCGTCCTGGCCGTGGAACTGTGGACCAGCTCTATACCCTTGCAAGGGTGATGGAGGGGGCATGGGAGTTTGCCCAACCAATCCATGTGTTTTGTGGATTTGGAGAAGGCTAATGACCGTGTCCCCAGGGGCACCCTGTGGGGGACGCTCCAGAAGTATGGGGTGGGTGGCTTTCTGTTAAGGGCCATTCAATCCCTTTACCAGAGGAGCATGAGTTTGGTCCGCATAGCCGGCAGTAAGTCTGACCTGTTCCCAGTGAGGGTTGGACTCCACCAGGGCTGCCCTTTGTCACCGGTTCTGTTCATTACCTTTATGGACAAAATTTCTAGGTGCAGCCGTGGTGTTGAGTGTGTCGAGTTTGGTGGCAGGAAAATCTCGTCTCTGCTTTTTGCGGATGATGTGGTCCTCCTAGCTTCATCCAGCTCTGACCTTCAGCTCTTGCTGAGTAGGTTCGCGGCCGAGTGTGAAGTGGCTGGGATGAGGATCAGCACCTCCAAATCTGAGACCATGGTTCTCGA